TTAGTTATCTAAGAAAAGTAGTTTTTTGAAAAAAAAACAAGAATTTTATCGGGACACTTTTTGATCAAAAATTAAGGCTATAGGCTTAGAAAAATCATTAAAATTTTTCGAAAAATTTTTATTTAAAAAACAGGTTAATAGTCCTCTTATCGATATGGGGAAACAAGAATTCAACTTAATTATCAAAAAAAAGAAGTTTTTTGAAAAAAAACAAGAATTGTATCGGGACACTTTTTGATCAAAAAGTAAGGCTATAGGCTTAGAAAAATCATCAAAATTTTTCGAAAAATTTTTATTTAAAAAACAGTTTAACAATCCTCCTATCGATGTGGGAAAGCGAGAATTCAACTTAATTATCTAAGAAAAGTAGTTTTTTGAAAAAAAAACAAGAATTTTACCGGGTCAATTCTTGATCAAAAAGTAAGGCTAAAGACTTAGAAAAATCATCAAAACATTTCGAAAAATGTTTATTCAAAAAGAAGGTTAATAGTCCTCTTATCAATGTAAGAAAGCAAGAATTCAACTTAATTATCTGACAAAAGTAGTTCTTTTGATAAAATACAAGAATTTTATCGAGTCAATTTTTGATCAAAAAGTAAGGCTATAGGCTTAGATATATCATGAAATTTTTTCGAAAAATTTTTCGTCAAAAAACAGGTTAATTATCCTCTTATCGATGTGGGAAAGCAAGAATTTAACTTAATTATTTGAGAAAAGTAGCTTTTTTTGAAAAAAGACAAGAGTTTTATCGGGACACTTTTTGATCAAAAAGTAAGGCTATAGGCTTAGAAAAATCATCAAAATTTTTCGAAAAATTTTTATTTAAAAAACAGGTTAGAAGTCCTCTTATCGATGTGGGAAAGCAAGAATTCAACTTAATTATCTGACAAAAGTAGTTTTTTTGATAAAATACAAGAATTTTATCGAGTCAATTTTTGATCAAAAAGTAAGGCTATAGGCTTAGAAAAATCATCAAAATATTTCGAAAAATTGTTATTGAAAAAACAGTTTAACAATCCCCTTATCGATGTGGGAAAGCAGGAATTCAACTTAATTATTTGAGAAAAGTAGTTTTTTTTGAAAAAAGAACAAGAATTTTATCGGGACACTTTTTGATCAAAAAGTAAGGCTATAGGCTTAGAAAAATCATCAAAATGTTCTGAAAACTTTTTATCTTAAAAACAGGTTAATTATCCTCTTATCGATGTGGGAAAGCAAGAATCGAACTTATTTATCGGAGCAAAGTAGTTCTTTTGAGAAAAAAACAAGAATTTTATCGGGTCACTTTTTGATCAAAAAGTAAGGCTATTGGTTTAGAAAAATCACCAAATTTTTGAATCAATTTCTCGAACAAACATGTTAATATTCTTCTTATCGATATGATAATGCAAGAATTCAATTAAACCATGGTAGAAAATTTTTTTTTTTAAAAAAATTTGAATTTTTTAGACGGGTCATTTTTTGATGAAAAAGTAAGGCTATATGGTAAAAAAATCATCGAAATTTTTCAAATTTTTTTCTTTTAAAACAGGTGGATCGGCCTTTATATAATCAGAACAAGAAAGAATTGAAATAAGTCTATGGATAGAAGTTGTGTTTTAGAAAAAACGATTTTTAGAGGGTTGTATTATTTACAAACGGAAGGCTTGCAAAAATTGATTAAATGTTTGAAAATTTGTTATTAGACGATATATTTAATCAAAATTTAAACTGACCAAATTACTATGAGAAGAATATTATCAACAAATTAAAACAGTAGAATACAATACCTTGTTTTTTATTACATGATTTTACACCTTTTCGTCTCATAACTCTATCTAAAAAGCAATGCTAAAGTTTTGGAAAAAGGAGAGGTTTTGGGATCTAATTTTGATGAATCTTACAGCAAAAGTTAACCCAGCACACATTTACCAAGATGTACTCCAACCATTCTTCTCTTATATTTCCAGTATTTTCAAATTAACAAAATTACATTAATTTACAAAGATCTGGCTTTTTCTCCTTTACTATTAACAGAACCATTGTGATACAATAATAGTGTTCAATTCTTGAAGAAAAGGCAAATTTTTGCTTTCCATCAACAGTTATAGAACCAATTAAAAATAAAATCATTATGAGAAGTTATAGTGATTTTTAAAGTTCAGCTTTGTGGTTTGTGCTAATAATAAAATTGATAGCAGTTTAAGATCACAACTCTTCTTGCAAGTTTATAACTGGACCGTGGTTATAGTCATGGGCCTCAAACACTTCTAATCTTTAGGGTAATTCAATTCTTTAAGATCAAATGGTTGAATTTCAGGGAGATATTACCCCTGAAATAGCAATAATAAATAATTTTATTAAAGCTCTTCCAAGCAAATTTTTTGACAAAACATGAATAAAGATTTTAATTTTCGAAAAAAATTCATTGTGTCTAATTAGAAATACACTCAATATTTGAATCACTTCACAACCCTTAAGTGAATACCCACTGTTTCGTAACAGTCCATATACTTCATTCGCTGCCATCAACTCCCAAGGCCAATAACAGGGCTGTCCAAACAGTATCGCCCGGTCATTTTGTAACCATAGGTCCAAAACTTGCAAGTAGAATTGAGGAAAATTTAGATGACAACCTTTTGAATTATCTAGAGAAAAATAGCAAAAAGTTTACTTATAAAATGATATTTATAAATAATATTTAGATGACTTTTAAAAAACATGCTCATTTAACTTTTGAGTTTTTGTGTGAATAAAAATTAGTTAATGTTTTGATTTAAATAAATCAAATTAGTTATTCTAAATCCAAAAAGCACTATAGAGCTTTGTTAAAAACTTATGGTAAAAATAGACTACTTCCAAACTGCATGAAACCCCTAATGGAAGTCACCGTAGCAAAATTACTTCTGAAAGTTTAAGGGTTACTCATTCTAGTTATGTTTTCCAATTGAGTTAGTCAATGCCACCATTTTGTATTACATTGCTTCAAGGAACTTTTCGAAAAGAAGGGCTAATCAATTTGCACTGATCAACTTGTTTAACTATTATAGGCAAAAATTTGATTTGTATGATTTATAAGTCAGTTTAGTTATTCCAGACTGAGCCAGGTAGCCAAGAATGTAATATTCTACTTTATTGAATAGATAATTTTTATTTTCAACAAATAATTTAATCAATAACGATAATTTGTATAGTCTTTGATAAAGCAGAAAATATCTGACTATTGAAGAGATAATTTTCTAAGAAAGGTCATTTAATTAAACAAACTTAAACCACTGTTTAAAAGAGGTGTCAGAGGTATATCAAAAACATTTCTAGTAATGAAGAATTTAGAACACAGCCCTAGACTTCAGCCAAATAATTTAGATTTTGATCGATAAGATGCAAATTGAATCTAAATTTTCTTTCATGGATACAAAATAGAATGCTTTAAGTGATCACAAAAGAAGATTGAATTTTGAAAAGAAAATAGGAGGAGCTCCAAAAACTATGCATTTTGTGTTCGTCAATAATACACAAAAGATGCTTTAAAGATTCAAAATACTCTGTGCATTAAAAGGTACAACTTCAACATATAAACAAGAATTTGTGTCAATCTGGTCATGTTACTAAGACTTTTTGATTTAACTTTAACCAACTACCAACTTCAGAAGAGTTTTATAACACGTTTGAAAAATAGGACATATAGACATTTTAATTCGTTTCTTCCTTGTTCCACTTAAGATCATAACTGTGATGGGATTTTGTCGTGCTTTGGCAAAATACCTGTTTGTTTTTGCAAAGCAAAGCTTATTAGAAAAAGAGCTTGATCTTTAGCCCAAAAGGCTTTTCAAAGGAACTGACATAAACTTTTCCCAGGTATATAAGTTAATGAATCGGCTTGAACAAAGCACAGCACAAAAATATAAAGGTTTTTTATCTTTTGCGAAAAACATTAACCTGGATTTCGTGACGCACACTAAATGTATTTTTCAATACTTAATTAAGAAGTCAATTTTGATATCTTTGATCATGATAATCCGAACTCTCACTAAAGAAAAATGTTGTGTTTCATTTAGAAATTCTAAACTAAACTATTCCGGCCTTCTTTTGTTTAAAATAAATTGCTCCTGACATCTGATAGGAGCAAGTGACACATGATTGGTGTTAATCTACATCTTCTAATGCCGCCGAAAGAGAGAGATATAAGATATTTGTGATAAATTTAATAAAGAAAAACAAAAACTGAAAAGGAACAAAAAGACCGTGTTTATAGAAGAGTAGCATATATGAACCATTGCGATTCTTTTCAGAATTGCAAATATTAGTGTGACATGATTTTGAAACTAATCACTAACTTTAAGCAGAGCACGTTCTTAAACCAAAGTTTGCTTCTGCGTTTTGGTCTCTTTATAGCAGGTTTTGCAATATATAATTCATAAAACAGAATGATATACACATTCCTGTGAATTAGCGTTTATACTACATGAAAAAGGCCATTTTTCTACAGTCTTCTACTTTTTGCATTTTTCCATTCTGTTAAAACTGTCAAGATCTTTATATTTTTTTGTAGCACTTATAAAACAATATAAAAATACCAAGGAAAATAAAAATTAAAAAAGGTTGATTGAAGAGAAATAAAAAATCATCTTAATTCTGCTTTTATTTGGTCTAAACTGGGTATTGATACCTCAAAGCATCATACTTTATTGGTTAATGAAATAAAATCGGTAAATTTTACTGCTTTGAAAAATCCGATAACTTGGAAAAAGGCTAGAGAGACCCGAGAGAGAGAAAAAGTAGTGATAGTGAATGTAGATATTCGCGATTGCTTGCATACTATTTGAGTGCAACATAATGTTATGCCTTCTAACACTTCGGAGCCAAGATCTCATTGCATTGCAAACTTGCTTTCACCGCAATTTATATCAGGTTAGCGACCATCATGGCCTAGCTACCTTTTAAATAGAAAAATAATAGCCAAAAATCAGTGGTACTGTAATTGTACCATATTAATCTCTGCAAAATATGGCAAATCTTACCTTCAGTAATTCTTCATGCAGATGTATGTCAGCATATCTTGTATCCCACTGTCTATAGCCACGACTTGATCTACAAAAGTGCAATACCCACGTCTTAAAAAATTCTAAAAGATACAATGAAGACATATATTTATCCTGTTGACATTCTTGAAGTTCAATCTTTGGTGTACGTACTAGGCCTAGCCCTTTCCTATAAACGATGGTTTTGATTGCCAAGCTTACACATTAATACCTTATTAGTTTTCAATTACGGAAAGGGAAATGTGATTAAAAAGCATTTTGTGTCGATTGATTTAACAAGATTAGAATCAAGTACAACAGACAGCTTGATCTAAAGAGTTTTTAATCGGAATTGATGCGAGAAACAGATATTATGAAATGCCGTGACTTTTCTGAAGATCGTGCAGTCAAAGGGTAGAGTATTAATCAGCGAAGCACAAAAAATAGCATCAACACTTGAGACTGTTACTTGCTAATTACATTAAAGGGCCGAATTCGGCGGCTTTAAAATCACATAATGCCTTGTATAGGAAAATAGGCAAGAAAACAACAAATAAAATTCTTGAGAAGTAAAGGTTCTAGATGATCTTTAGATCTGTAAGTTCAGAATTGTCTCAGGTTAAAAGATTGCATCATCTCTTCTTCGTTTCTAATGCCCATGTAGTTTAAATTCTGTAAACATCCTCAGTCTTTCAATTCTAATTTGATATGCCAAAAGAGAAAGGATCTGCAAAAACACTATGACGTTGCTTATTGTAAATTAAAAGTAGGATATGTTGTTGCGTCACTGCAACTTCTCCAACTTTTTAAATTTTGAAGTTCCATTTGATGCAGAAGTTATGATACAGGGCCCAGGCCACCAAGAGGGGGGAGGGGTGCGGGGCTAGGCGGCCGTGCCCCCACTTTTTGCGAAACAGGTAACAAAGCTACAGTATAATGTGAAAGAAGCCTTGGCACCCCCCTCCCTTTCGTTAGCCTTGCCCTCTTTCAAATGCGCGGCTCTTGGCCCTGTGATAGAGCTTTTCGTGTTTACCAATGAACGTATCTTCATAAAAAAATTGCAAAATGTTGATGTTAAGCAGATGCCCTTGCTTATTTATTAACTAATTTCATAACCAGAAACAGCAGTGCTTTTGTTGCAATGTTGACAATTGATGTTCTTGAAATTTTTTCCCACCAGTGCTTAAAATTAGAACCAACAGCTTGCATCAATGTTGTAAAATCGCTTGATTAATATAACAAGCAATATATGCTTACGATCACGTGGCATGTCCTGCTCAGTTACACAAGTGAAATCAAAGATCTGCGTCATTGCATACTATCATTATTTCACCTATTATTATTTCATTTCATTGCGCACAAATATTTCACCTAGACAAATTAGAATTTTCTTGCTTTTTCAATTTGCAAATATTTTAAGGAACCTACTTGCTGTAGCTTGTTATTAGAGTTGTTTAACAAATTTGTCAGATAATGTAATTTTTCAAAGCTGAAAAATTCCTAATGAAATTTGGAATCAAATATCGAAGAGATTTGATCGCCATTATAACTGAAAAATCACTCTCTTTACTGAGAATTTAAAAGCTCAACGTTAAAATACTGTTGCATGTTTGCTGTATTTGGCACCAAGAAGAGTTAGAAGAGAATTAATCAAAACATAAAAACAAGCAAAAAGAACGCTGATATCGATTCTGATACGAGGACATATTGTTTAAAAAGAATAAAGACTCGTATTGGTGCAGCACAGGGTGTTAAACAGCACTGTTAATTTGGCAAAACGATTAACATTGGATTTGAGTGTGATTTTCCCAGATTAGTAGGAGCATAAGACAATAAGAAATGACATCTTCAGATGTCATTTAAACACAATCTTCTTATTAAATATCAAACTTTAACCTTGCATGTACATATATTTCTTCGTGATCTAAATAATCGTCTGCTGTCAATTTAGGGTAATTGATTATCTCAATTACTCATTAAAATGAGTTTTGAATTTACATTTGAGGGCATTATCGCGTTATCATTTTAAGATGACTACAGGTTCTGCCTACTTAAATAAAGAAAACTGAATTATACGATCTTAAATTTTATGGAAAAAAACAAATCGACCTCATGCAAAATCAACTGTTTTTATTCGATTATAAGTGTCGACCAGCTCCATTTAATCGCGACATTTTTTGGAGATTTGAAGCAGTCTCTACGTAGCCCTGGTAGTGCAAAAAAAAACTCAATAACGAATACCATGTCAGTGTAATGGTTTTGAAAAAGGATGATTGAGAATTTAATAAAGATTAAGAACTTAGTCATTATTTATTTATAAACTTTTGACAGTTTGTTTAGTAGCAATAATTTTTTGCTTTCAATAGGGGTTTCCATAGCACTTTTTATGATTAGAACATATCTGTCAAGAATCGTTTAGTTTTTTTAAAAATGATTCTAGAGCCTCACACAGCAGTTTACAATAAATTTTGATTGAAATTTTTGCAAGACATGAAGCATTTGCTTTGATAGCTACGAACAGTTGATAGAAGAGGGGTAATTTAGAGGTACGGTTTAATGGAGGGTGTCTGAAGAATGTTACTGACTTCAAATACAGCAGATCGAATGAAGAGAGCAGATGAAGAAAAGAAATAAAAACATGAATAGTGTCAGCAAAATGTACCTATAACAAAAGAAAGGAGCTTTAAACAAAAGGCCTAAGCTTAAATCAAAGAAAAAGGGTGGTTATATCACTTGTATGAAATATGTTGCTTTATGCAGCGGAGACATGGGCAGTACGTAAGGAAAGATTTGGTTTTGGAGATGGGTTTAAGGATGATTTGGAGAGAAAGAATAAAGAAAGATGAATTATCATTAACATTGGAGAGAACAGATTTATTAAAGACACAATTAATAGCAGAATAAAAAAATGTATGAGGCATACCCTCGGATATGGCTGCTTATTGAAAACGGCCATAGAAGGTAGAAAACAAGGGAAAAGTACAAGAGGAAGAATAAGAATCCAAATGCTATAGATAACATAAAAAAATGCTCATTATGAGCACAGTAGCCAATGGTTTCAAAAGGACCTGTCCTCTGGAGAGGTAGAAAGATAATCCATGACTGCATAAATTTCTAACTGTCTTTTAGGAGTCGGTGAATAGCTAACATGATTTCACATATTGGTTATGGTGTTTGTTGTCATCATGGGTGCGACCTCTAGAAGCTGCCTACAACACAGCGCCTTGCCTAACTTTTCAGGGCGGAACCCTTGGGTAGATATGTTTCGTTTTATGACTGCCAAGTGCAAATTGGAATTGCAAATAGAATATATTTCTACTATGAATGTGCTATATACAGCGATCTCAATGCCACGAGGAGTCACTTCAACACAAATCAGGATTTGCCGAGTCTCCTCCAGTTATGATTTTTCAGTCGGAAAACCGATGAAAAAAATTCATTTTCAAACACTTCATACAGAGCAGAGCCTACAACAAAATTTCATGTTGTGCGAGTATCAGAACTGGGATCACGCATGAGTGAACCGTTTTTATAAGAAAGCTTATCGATTAATTTCCAATCTAGCAATACTAGCAATCTAGCGTACTGACTTGATCATTTCTGGAAGGGGCGATCAAACCTGGGTACAGAAACCAAGTAAGTGCATGCATAGATGTGTAGAATCAAGAGGAGGATTGAAAGTGAATAGGACATCGCCAGAAACTTCATAAGCACACAGGCAAAGTCAAAAAGCTATTCACAAAGAACAAACAAAATATAGCAAATTGGCACCGTTTTCATTTTAGCATTAAATGAACTTTTCGGATGTTGAATTGTTCAATTTCAAAATGACTTAAGGAAATTTCTCAGTTTTGAGAGCAACATGAAAAGATCGATGCATAAATCTAACAAAAACAAAGCCCCGCTTTGTGATACAAAAAGAACATAAATTTAAAAAAGTCTAGACATTCATCATGATGACCGGAAGAAGGAACTTTAAGTTAAAATGGTTTTAATCCTCTGTCATTGTGCATCAGTATGATGGTCTTCACACCCCTTCTTTTAAATAATCTTTGTATTTCTCTTAAAAAATGCAGTCCCTTAATTGAAATAACACTCTTCCATAATTAATAATTTAAGATAGATTCTTAGAAGACTGTTCAGTGGTTCTGGCAACCTTTATTTGATTTTGCAGCTGTTTTCATGATTTTTGGAAGGTTGTATGTACACAGCTTGACAACCACTGTTGGTTAGTCCTTCTAGCAAAATTGTTCTGATCTTTTTAATATATTCTGCATTTCAATAAAGGAATTGTAACATGACAGGTATTTAACAATTATTAACATATATTTTCTTGGCACCTTAATATTTCTCTTATCGTTTTATGGCGCAACGCTGTTAAGAAATAATGAATTCTTTAGAAATATCTAAACTTTGCATAAGGCGATTTGACGTCATGAGGGAAACAGTTGAGTGGCAAACAAAACCAAGATGAATTTAAATGATTGAATTAAGATGATAGATAAACTGCATTTGAGAGTCTCTCTCTTAGAGTGAAATCTATTTGATTTTTAGAATTATCTATGCACAAACAGGGCCTTGATCACTATATACCGAAAAGTTACCAATGTCGCATACACAATAGTCAAGTAATATTGACCAAGTTCAACCTAAAAACAAACACCTGCGTAATGGAAGTGTCCCATATAGCTTCAGAGCTGAGACAAAACAGATGCCACGCTATGACTAATATTGGCATCATTTTTCGTCATTTTCTTCCACATAATTTCACAGATGCTTTTATCATCACAACTGGATCAATAAAAGGCTGAGAAGCCAAATATAAGTGAGAATTCACGGTAGCTATACACATTCTTTCGACATATTGATGGGAAAATTGCGAAAAGGTAAGAAACATTGTGCGTGTTTGCTTGTTGTTTGAGGCAAAAGGTAATATTTTAAAAGATTGCAGGTTTAAGAACAGAGCGTACATCTGTAGGAGACCTACGTAGTGTCAGAGCAGATTCGGAGCCACAGCGACAAAAAGTTGACAAATGTGTAAAACAGTAGAATACAGCAGTTGTTGAGTGAGAGGAGCATAGTGCTCCATGAAAACCTCGTATGCCTGTGACAAAAATCCTCTCGTAATGAGAAATATCCTTTCGTAATCTTCCTGCAAAATGCAATACACCTCTTGGTAATTACACAACCCTCTTCCTGAAGAAAGGGATTGCAAATTTCAGTCCTTGATATGCTATGCAGTCTGAGGCAAAACCAATGTGCATGGGTGCAGCTTAAAAGACTATCGACGGTATGCGAAATCTTATCTTATAAAGACTTGTCTAATAACCTTAAAGAGCATATTGCTATAGACCCCTTGTCGAATGGACTACTAAGGTTGCCCAGCGTTTCACCATTTATTTACTTTTATTCACTTAAATTCTCAATAGACAAAATAAATATACCCTATAGCCCTACAAATTCGTGGCTTTAAGATAAACAACACCCGAAAACACTCACTCTAGGAATTGCGCTGAGTTGCTTTATGCACTTTAGCTTAAGACAATAAAGATTATATTGACTTTAATTCACTGCATAATTCGACATATTTGTTTCATGGTAAGAGTTATTGTTGTAACTGTTTTTATCATGCCAACATGTTGCTCTAGCATTTAAAACAAAATAAAACACCTTTTAAACAGAATTAAATATTGATCATAAAGTCGAAAATCGGAATTTAAAGTAACTAGCTCTTTCACTGATCTCCAGCAGTCAGTTATCAAAGACGACTCGGCAGAATTTAAGGAAAAAAGTTAAAAATAGTAGTTAAAAAAAGGCAAAAAAGGCACAGTTCTAACTAAAATTAATGTGCAATTGACAGCATTCAAGTTACTTTAGTTGTTGCTTAGAGATTCGGATCAAAAGGAGGCGTAATGAAGCAGGTGGCAACAGATTTAAAAGATTTCTTATCTGATTTTGTCAATTATAAAAGCCGATGCTGGTTCAGCGTGAATAAATAGCAGATACCCGCTGTAACATAATTCGAAAATCGGAAAGAATTTTTCCAAACGCTATTGGTACTTTCTCTCTAGTCTCTGGAATTCTAGGTATGATTCTTTATTTGAATTTATTATTGTAATTCGTTGAAAATTATATATCCAAACTTGTGGAAACGCAAGATCCAAAAATAAAGGAAGGCCATCAAAGCGGATTAGAATAGGGGCTGTATTTTTCAGGTAAGTAATTTCTTGCAGCTTTAAACTCCGCCGATAATATTGGAAAATTCCTTTGAGTAGAAGTTTTTCATTTTCTATAAATAAAGTCAGCAGATTGACCTTTTGAAATTGCAGAGACTTGCTTGCTTAAAATATAATCGTCGAATTCATAAGAGAGCGTTTAAAGTTGATTAGTAAAACAAGAAGAAATATATGATGATTTAGGGCATGGCCCAATTTCACAGCTTTTCGACTCGTATAAGAAAATTCTGTTTAGAAAATTAAGTATAAGCCTTTTGCCTGATTTCAATTTATTATGAGAAATTCCTTATAAAACTGTCTAGTCATAATCTGGAACATTTGTGGCAATTGGTTGACAGGCAAATATTAGCTTTTCTGGGTTTTTGGCATTTGAGGGCGTTACTGAAATAAAATATTTATCGTTCGTGTGTTGGTCTTGGGAAAATTCTTTAAGATGATTAGGAGATCTTAGAAACAAACAAACAGAACAAGACGTCACCAATACAAAGCTATTTAGATTTTAAGATGTTTTCCTTTCCGAAATGGTACACATTGTCTTCTTGCCGGCTCGTAAGCGGCCTGTCTACATATCACGCAAGAGAATATTTGCATTGATCAACGTTGCTTTGGTCGAGGTAAGGTCGATTGATAGACAAATGTATAAAGTTAATGGCTTCGAATCAATAAGAGGATACATGAATAAGCAATATAAATTGCATTTAGTGAAAATAAGCGGAGAGCCTTGAATGAAACTAGCCTAGTTTAACTAGGAGTTGAGAAGTTTCCAGCATGTAAGTTTTTAGATCATGAATAAAGAACCTATGTTGCCTTTTTTATAAATTTCTGCGCATTTTAAACACAACGTAACGGTTGGTTGACTGCATTGATATATCTCATCGTTAAGGAGATTAGCTGTTTTAAAGAAGGTCATTTTCTATGTTCACTGTTTCAATGTAGATATAATTTCAAATGTATCTTTATTTTGTTTTGTTCAGATCAGCAGTTGAGATGCAATTTAACAGTCAAGCTCTTACTAAAATTGTTGATAAGAATCATCTAACTAACTTTAAAAATACCACAAAAAGTAATTTTTTATTATTTTGACAGAGTTATATTTCTTTCTTAGATTCTTTAACTAAGCTCAGTGGCGGAATAGCAGTCACTGATTGGTTAAAAGCAACAAGGAAATCACACGTGTCATTCTTCCCCTCACATTTCTTTTGATCAGCACCTAGATACTAATTCCTGCTTACATTTTCGCTATAATCCGACGTTTATACTCTAAGCATTGCAAACATTGCACAGACAGTTCATTTGGTTAAATTCAGGCAAATTTTTTCCAATGAAGTTCCGCTTTGGTTGTTAGAACATATGGGTGTACTTCACGCCTTTCTTGTCTCGTTTAGGGAATTGTGCAAGCCTTTTGACATAGAAGAGATTTCATCATCTATCCTGTGACGGCTATCGCTCTAAAGTCAATTTTTTATTAATTTTCAGATTTTTAGGAATTTTCTCAATTTTTCAACTTTGACTCTATTCAAGTCTACGAAAAAATGCTGGTACAATAATATATTGCGATAATCTAGCTTTGGGACAAAACTGGAATTTTCAGGAAAACCAAATATGGGTTCATCTGCATTATATCACTTTTCTGAAGCTGCTCTGTGTAAGTCCCACGAAAAAATGACCAAACCAGAAAAACCTAACAAAGCTATCTTTGAAACTAGAAAATGATTGTCTTTTTGACCCACCAGCTGTCTTACACGAGAAATGCAAAAAAAAATTCATAACGCAACACGATTTTGTTCTAATCTACCATTGAATCGCACTGTACATTCAGTTTTCATTCATTTGAAAAAGCAAATGAAAAGCAGCTTGTAACAATTAATACTATTTTCCTCGTGTTTATTAATTGACACACGACAAGCAATTTTTATAGACTCGGTAATTTCATTTTAGTCTTGAGTGAGAGCATTTCATTTACTTTGCTGAAGATTGACCTAAGAATTGGACTCAAAGTAGTCGAATTGCAATAAAATTTGCCTCAGTTATCAATTATCTTAAAAATTTTCTCGTTAGTAGGATAGTGTGCCCTAGAATTATGAACGAGTTTAATTGAACACCTCAATTTTTATCCTATAGAATTTCTACGAGGATTTAGGTCAAACTTTACCAAAAACTCCAGCTTTAAAAGCATTTGTTACAAAGAATACAGAACAAGGCAAAAATCAACTTTAAACAGTCTTTAGTTCTAGGTCATGGGGTAAAAAACACGACTTTATAGGAAGGTTTGAAACCAGTTAATAGCAAAAGTTCCGTCGGTGAGAAAAGAAAAGTTTAAATTCTTTGAGCACGTTGGGATATTCCTTTCTGATGTGGCAAAATAAGATTTATTAAGATCTCTTCAGCATTTCAGTTCATAGATCACAATTCATAGAAATTGTGATCAAATTACAATACCTATTTGTAAAAAATTATGCTGTTAATAATATATTGCAGGAAAAATTTGTCATTGATTGCATAGTATGGTGTTCGTATTCTTTTGGTACATAAGCTTTGGATGATTCGATCGTTGTTTAGTTTTGTCGATATAGTGAAGATGATATCAACATTTAAAGTAATGTTGCAGTAATAATTGGCTTAGAAAACAACCAGTGAGGATCGGCCATGAGACTTTGTAGGTTAGTGTTTTTTATCGTTTGTGTCGTTTTATCTTGCTAGAGGACGCAAAAATCATGTGCGGTCAACACGTTAGCTCAGATTTGAGCTTTGTTGAGACAGGAGTGAACAATGAATTTATGTGTGCAATTTCAATGTTCTCATAAAAAGCAGGGAAGATATAAGTCTGCAGAAATATTTATGCCTGATCTCCCAAATATTACTAAAATATGCTTATCTAGAATACTTGAAATTTGTGTTATTAAGCCGTCCCATAATATGCAAGTTACCATACATGTCGATAACACTTTGATCAAGTCTCATCTGAAGATAGATACACTGACTCGCTACATGAATTTTTACGTTTTGCACTGAATAAGAGCCACTAAGACAAATGTAAGCATGAAGTACACGAAAACTGTATAGCTTGAATGACGAAAGCGAAATGTGTGTTTATGATCAGGACTAGATCTTTAAAGCACATGCCTTTTTAAACTGTCTTGTATTGTCTTGTAAAACAAAATAATATTGCCTTTTGAACAGGTAGCAAGCATAATGTCTCCCTTGCCAATTAAAAAATCTTCCACGAACTTTAAGTTTGTTTTAACACAATTGAAAGGCTATACAAACATTCATGAATAAATGAAATGAAAATTCATTTTCGCTTTGAAAGTAGCCATCGATTATCTTTTCTGATCAATCAATCGCCAGTTATATTTATGTGATATCCATTTGTTGATTGGCAGCCAGTCACGTAGAAAATTGACTTAAAGAAGCAAGCAAAATTTAATAAACAAAAGGGTCCTGCATAATTCATATGATTTCTTAAATATGTAGCAGCCAGATCAATGCGTAATGATAAGCGAAACAGCGGGCAATTAACCATCTTCTGGCAAGTATCAACTTCGTATTTATAGCTTGAAGTTTAGATTTTAAAGTTCTGGTAGTTAAGAATTCATTTACGTGACTAAGAATTGGCCTGATTGTCTTGCAGAATCATGGGAAACGGCTTAAACAAAACAGAACAGTCTCAAGCATTTTATTGGAGTCTGGTTGTAACTGATATTGTCACGTTTATTTTAAACATCCTTGTGCTTGCAATGTTTCTATGCTTCCGGGAGAAGCTACTTGGCAGCAATCACAATCGCATCCTTTGCTCAATGGCACTTGCTGATGCACTGGTTGGTATATTCGGCAACAATTTAGGTGTGCTGCTATTATTGAAGAAGAAATCCGTGTACTATAAACTACTTGGAAACGTTCCTTTGTTCAGTTGTATGTTCGTTTCAATCTTATCGCTCATACTACTGACTGTGGATCGCCTCATAGCGATAAAGAGGCCCCATATATACGGCTCAGCAAACTATAGGAATATGCTTTTCCGGCTTATTATAGCTACTTGGATCTTTCCTGGCCTGATCATCATACAGAATTCACTGATTTATCTATATATTTCCAGCAAACAAGAGCTGATCGTTAGAAGCAGTTTATTCACTGCCTTCTTTGCAGTTGGCGTTCTTGTTCTAATAGTTTCAAATTCATTTCTGTTTGTTGCTATACGAGGATACGCCAAAAGATATGCAGCACGATCAAAGTTTTCAAATGTCGATATACGGGGAGAGAAGTCAAGTGCAGATCATAGCTATACAGGCAGTGAAACACAAGATAATAACACTTCTGGCCCTTTCAGCAAGTACATTGCAAGCACAGAAGAACTGTCTGTAGGCAATGCAATGAACAAGAACGACGAAAATTCAAATTGCCAGAAAAAAGGAAAGCGCAGAAAGAGAAAAATCTCAAAGCATCAGGAGCTAAAGCAGACATCTTTGATCTGCCTCCTTTCTGTTGTTTTGTTTATTTTGCTATGGCTGCCGTTAGCCGGGTATCGCTTTTGCTATGCCACCGGCATAAAGATGGGTATACCATGGCTGAGAAGGCTTGCACTCTGTTTAACCATAGCGAACAGTTTTTTCAACCCAATAATTTATTTACTTGTAAAAAAAGAATTTCGTACATATATTAAGAGGCTGATTTGCAAGTTAAATCCATTTAAAGGATCCAATTAGTGACAAACAGTTGTCGTAAAAACGTGATGTCGTAAAAAGTTAAAACAGTTTTTAGCTTTCTAAAAAACTTAAGCTCGTCATAAGAGACTAAATTTCAAGTGTGAAAAACAAAAGAGAACCGGATAAGGGTGAATAGAATTGAATATTCTTTTTTTCCTAGACATTCAAAGAAGTAAAACTACATCTTTGACTTGTTTGATGGTGATGCAGAAGAATTTTCTGAGTATATTTCGCTTTAGGTTTATAAAATATTCTTGCAAAAAATAGACCTGCCAATTGCCTTAATGAAAACATTGCTTGTACATGTCTCATTAAATGTGTTTTCTTACATGCTTTGTTGGCTGAGGCTGTCAATTAACCTCGCAATAACACGAAATAGAATAACTTTTCGAAGCTTTAGCCATTTCTAAAGGCGTCTATAAGGCTCAAAAGGCAATCCACTCTTGCAAATAGCGTACGAGATTTTCCCTAAAACAAAAGGATTTCCGGGGATTTTCAGCTAAAACAATAGGATTTTCTAAAAAGGTGTACGAGATTTTCTCGGAGTGATTTACCCCTCGATAAGATTGAAACCAAAGCTTAGAAAACAGGTCATTTTATAGCAGTTATTAATTCTAAAAGGTTCACGAATCTTATTATTTGTGTAATAAGTGATCTTTTTTGTTGAAATCATTCGCTAATTCTTTACGCAAACTAACAAGAACCCTTTGAAAGTAGCAACAGCTTTCCTGCAGCAGGGAGTTTTTTAATTAAGTTATTTTTCGATTAGATATACATCGAAGAGACAAAATATTTCAATAGTGGCTTAGTATTAATCCAAACGAAAAGCAGGCGCCATATTTGCAATGTGATCCGTATTAGACCGTTTAGGCTCATTCGATAATGTAAGGGATCTTTAACACGGGAAAAGATGAATTTCAGAAAATATTAATTGACATTCTCTTGGCGATGACGCACAAAAAGTAGGAAACAAGTTGGAAAAACGCAAGTCTATCAATGGGAACGCGATCAAATATTGTAATCCAATGACACAGCATAGAGCGTTAAACAGTGATAGTATATGGCTTTGAATACGGTAATGAATCTAATTTGTTTTGACTTTTTATTGCATTTACTCTGTATATATATAAGTAATTCTAACGAAGATATTATTTTCAACATCAACACTGTGTATAATTAACATTCAATCTCATTCTTTAGAGTTTAAGTATGTATATGATGACAGTGTATGTTCTCTCTGATTAAAGTGAAAGTTGCAGATGTTGATACTTAATGTTGATATAATTAACACTGTTAGGGTGAGATATAATTTTTCTAGAAGTTAAACAATTTCTCCTGAGTGTATAACCTATGTTAGAAATCACGTATAGTATAGGTATTCTATGATTGCATCTATAAACTAAGTTGAATTCTTGTCTGTTTGCATCCTAAAGATATTCATTGCTACATAATGAGTACGAATTCGATCTCATAGAAACTAATCAGTTTTAATTCAACTTATCAGATTTCTTGGGGCTTTGAAAGACCATCAAATGCTGCATCCTAACGATTTTGACAGTAGCATTAGAAGTGGAGGTACCCTTCTGTTCCATCATGGAAAATGTTGTTTGTTGTAGGTGTTTATTGCACATTTGATACAACAGCTTTACACACATATGATTGCCATTTAGCTTATAGATTTGCTCTTTGCTCTTTCTTGCAAAATCAGCTGAATATATTTTCGAAAGCAGAGAAAAGCGGAAGTGTCTATTCTGATATACAGGTTATTAACAGTTTCTTTTGAATGTGAACATAGGTGAAGATATGACTTGATCCTTTGCAAACCTCAAATTGAAATGTCAACATTTGCTAACACTTTTTCAACTTACATATGACAAAACTTAGTGTTGACATCGTTGCGGAAAGTTTAGAATTATTGATCATTAAATTTTCTGTCGCAACGGATTATGAAAATTACAGTTTTTAATGGAAAATCTTAGTTCAATAAAAAAGAACAAATGAATTCTTCTATAAATTATGCCTGACATAAAAGCTGTAGAAGTAAACGATTTACTTAATTAATCATGATACTATCCAGTTTATACTTTAATTGATTTATTTGTTTGCTAATCATAATTCAATCTTCAACTATTATTTCCTTGCTTAAGTGATCCACAAAGATTTTGCTAGATCCATCGTTTCTTAGCCTCACAATTCTAGTATTGGATTATGGCTGTTTTTTCCCAAGTAAATGAAAAACCAAAGAAGACCTATTTAAGTTGAAGCAACTGTCAATTTATGTTTGGCCAGAACTACATCACTTAAAAATACATTTAACGATCTATCGTTTTTGGAAAAGAAGCAGTTTGAAACTATGCTTCATCAAAAGTTTTAAATTCTCTTTTCATCATTCAGACAAACAGAATACTTTCATTTACTAAACCAGCATCAGCATCACTTGAAAACAAGATTTCAACAGCTGCATTCAGATAGTGATGAAGCTCTAGCACCATTTGACCTTAGCCTCTCACATTTTGTTGAATAATTAATTGCCGTATTAAATTATTGTTTCGTCAGCGTGAAAAATGGCCGCTATATTTTGAAAAAAGATTTTTCCATTGCGAAAATTATCTCAGTTTTGAAAGATAAGTTGAAAAACATGAGCAGCTAAAAATTTTTTTTTAATAAATATGCCTTTCTCACAAATAAAGGATTTTTATAAATACGCTGTTCTGATAGAGGTGGAGTTTTTATGCATTTTCAGAAACGTTCTTCGGTGGTATTATTACTGAGAGCTGAGAAAACATCAAACCTTGAAATAATAACAAAATATACATGAAATTTGAAGTTTTTTTAAATGAGATGATGATTTTTGTTTGACTAAAAAATCAGCTTTGCTCTGAAGCTAAGTACAAACGTTTAGGATATACTTTTAAAACTGTCCAGCTGTTTTTTAGCTATCATTTTCATGACACTCCATTGTGTTATCGAAATAATTTGTGCTATGAACACTAGTAATCTTAAAAATACCTTATAATTGTTAAAAAATGCATTCAAGTATGGAAAAAGTTTGTACCGTATAAAGGAACTAAAACAAATTGTATGTGAATATTTGAAACTTTTATCAAGAAAAGTATTACGGTTCGCTGAGATACAGCGAGAAAATAGAAACTATTGACAATAATCTTGAGCATTATCAGACTGTAAAAGTTCGTTTTTTTAAAACAAACTTTAACAGCATACTGAAGCTTCTAATCTGCCACTCTTCCGTGTATCAAACGTCAGAAGAAAGATGGAAAAATCAAGAAAGAAAATCTATAAACAGCTGTTGACCGAAAAAGGCCAATCAGAGAATCTCGAGAACATGATCGAGTATCATAAAAATGGGTATTATAATGCATAGATTGTTATTTTGGCAAATTTTTTCGGATTAAATCTATATCATCTAAGCATTACGACGTTTATCACAATTTAATCAAACAATGTATGATGGAAATATGGATTATTGTGTTTGAGGGGTGTCTGATGGATGAAGAGTCATGCAGTGTACAACGACAACGTGAACTTGGATTACATAGCATTTTATAGCGTACATAATCTACGAGGCTGGAAACACAAAACAAGTAAAAATTCAGGTTTAGGTAACTTCCCTACTAAAACATTGAATAGCTTTTAAATCGAATGAATTACTCTTTTAATGCAATGCGTACAATGGTCTTGAAGTCGATGGGAATACAAAGACGCCATTGGGGACAAAGCATATCGTGCCATTTTGTTGGGTTTTTCTGAGGACACTAGAGTTTGTTTATTTAGTTTCTATATTGAACAGGCATGATTACGTTGTGCCAACATTCATAAAAATTCCATTAAACAAAATCTTATTTAGGTAAGAACGATTTGTTAATAAATACAGTACCCAAATGTTTGTATTGTTTTTGCCGACCTTGTCAATGGAGGTTGCGAATTAATCATGCAATCCTTTGCTAAACTTAAGTCCAAAAGAAATCGCGGCGGAAAAGCAATTTAAACAATCAATACTAGCAAATTTAATTGATCCGGTTTGTCCAAGTCTAAATTATGTTACCATTACAAGTGTAAACGTATTAAGGACTAGGCCTTAAGGTGGATTCTGTCTTAGTGAACAATTCGCAAACGATGTTTAGGCGCCCGCGGTTTTAATAAGAAATAACTCAACAAGACAATTAAGGTAACATCGATAAGAAATTTTATTACGCGGCCAAGGAACAACGCCACCTAACATTAATATGGAAGATGACAATCAATGAAGATGAAATCATCTTGCATGTATTGCAATGTTTCTGATGAGCAGCGCCTTTGTCGTTCTAAGCTTATCGTTACAAGATCCCTTACGATATCTTACAATTCACATAAGGCAATTACATTACTGATATCATTTAAAGGAACGACTGAAAACAATTGAAAAAGATCAATGGCCTATTTTGGAAAGCTAGCAAAAATGAAATGGTGCAACTAGAGAATTAAGTGATAATGTGATGGGAAAAAGCTAAATGACTGTGTTGTAACCATCATGGACAATTTTTGTCACAGGCAACTGATCTGCAAGACCACAAGCAGACCCGTCATTGAAGGAGTCTGCCTTGCAACGTGATTACCTGGGAAAGTTACCTGTTAATAGAACAGAAGAAGAAATTGGTCCGTTAAGTGAGAAGGGTGACATAACCACACATCAAAAGTGGATCGCTTCAAGCAGCTGAGTACACCAATTCAACCTACAGCCTCATTTTGAAAAATTCTTCAAATATTTTTGTGCAAAACTTTCAACCCCAGATTCGGGTTAAGAGCAATAATTTAAGTTTACTTGGAAGTTTTCAGTATGTCATTGGTCATGAGTTTGATTGTATGAGGACATAAAGACAAATATTGTTTAAGTGATTCGACTGTTGTTGGCGACTAAGGGGGTTACCCGGGACGACTTTTTGCGGTCCCCTACAAGTTTTCAAACTTCATTTCTCCGTAAAATCTAAACAAGTAAAAACAGTATGAAAAATTTACTGTGGTCGAAAAATATGGTGGTGAAACTGAATTTGTGCTCAAAAAAGTCGTACAATGAAGTTTGGAGTAATGTCCAGAATGATTCCGTTAGTTAAATTGGTTTATATTAAGATTATTAAGAATTATAATAAGAACTATGGTAATAGGAATTCGCTACATCTATTTTTTTGCTCAGTTGTTGCAATAGTTTCACAAAACAGTTGACATCCTTCGTTCAAAGATTAGTTAGAAGATCGAAAGAAAACTTTAAGCAGAGACTTTCAGGGTGCATTTAATGAATTATTAGCTTGAAGAACAATTTAACAAGATGCTTCTTATTGAGGAGTACACCTAAAAAAGAAACCTCTAAAGCTGAATAAACCGGTAAATTTTGTATGTTCACAACACTAGACACCTCCAACCTTAGTTTACGGTATTATTCCATAGTGAGAGCTTTTGTGATACGTAGGCTTGTGCAAGAGAACTTCATTATAGATTCTGCAAAATCATAATGCATTAATTCTATATTTAAATCTCAATGTGGAACCATATACATAGGCTACTCTCGATTCCCTTTTAAACAAAAAGCTTTCTGAGCCTATAAATAGCTTGAATGCTGAGATATAAAACACAATCAAAGTGATGAAGTAGTACTGAGCTACGGGAATTGGAAAACCGATCGAATTGTTATCTCCATCTCCAAGGCTAACGTGCTGATCAAGCGATGTCCGATCAAATGATATAAGAACATCGTCTTTAGCCTTGAATGATGTAAGAACAGCGTCTTTAGATGACGCAAGAACATCGTCTTTAGTCTTTAGCTTTCGCATGCAAGATTTGCCTTAAGGTGGAATGTAAAGGAACACCGACTGCTAGATTCAAAAGTGAGATGAAAAACCATTGAGAATTTGATTGGCTATTCAGCCAAATGTCGCTCAACCACCGATATAGCACGTTCTAAAAAGAATTTATCACGCTATGCGCATTGACAACGCTTACATGAAGCAGATGAGAAAGGCAAGGTGAATAGAACAAACTAAATTGTCAAAAAAGTTTTTGTATCAAGAAAAGGGTTCTGATTCAATGAAAAAAAGGAAGACATGGAGCATCTTTTCAACCAAGCAAATGAAAAGTTTTCTAGCTTAGTTTGAAAATTTCAAGCATTTTTGAAAGGAAATAAACGCGAAAACGTTAGATGGCTCGCGTAGATTAAAGTAAAAATCACTGATAAATGAAAGTAAAACAATATTAGAGAAATTATAAATTCAAATCAAGTGACAAATAAGTTCACATTGATAAAGCGGAATGCCACACCCAGTGATATGAGCAAATCCCACGCAACACCCGAATGATAACCCGAACGATAACCCGAAAGACAGCTCTGAACATTGATTTGAACTAAACGATAGAGAATTATACAACTAACGAGAACAGGAAGGATTTTAGTGTCAGTTCTCCTTTATAAAGAGCAACGATGAACCATAAGTTTCCTCCTGTCTCATTCTAATTGATATAATTGTCTTGAGGAAGTGAGCAAAGGTGCTATGTAACGAAGACAACAGATTGAATTGTTCTGATTTGTCGGACGTATGTTAAATGAGCACTGCCTTATCTTCATCTTGAGTACCACAAGGTCTATGACTTTCATTCATTGTTTTGCATAAACTTATTCACATTGTCATTTCAACGATTACATGACACAGATTACTTTTGAGGAACCAAATTTTTGACATGCATGGTAGTAAAAAATTTTTGCCAACCTAATTTTGAACAAAAACATGAATTTTGACACTCAAAATAGGTTATTGATGACTAACTTTTATTAATAAACTTTTCTGAATATATAATGCTCATTGTAAAGTCTCTGTTTCTAACCGAGTTGATTCATCAAATTAAAATAATGTCTTCACCAAATTTCTTTAGCATAAAATTCAAGTAGAGACCATATTTCAGTTTGCAAACTATCAACAAACCTTAGGGCATCGAAATACTAACAATTAAATGAAAATATAAAAAGAGTCCAAGAAAGCTCAATATGCTTTTAAAGAAAGGAGAAATTATCTTTAAAAAGCGAACATTTTCTCTAAGAACTATCATTTTGAACAATAAGGCAGTTTGGGCCAACAAGAGTAAGGTTAAGGGAATTAAAATCCACTTCAAATGAAAGAAAACACAGCAAAAATAATCAATAAACGATACGCTAACAAACTTTACCCACTATCGTTTTTAAGAGATCTTTATAAGCAAAAGACAGGTGATATTCAAAAGCAGGCACCAAAGGGGGGTTTGTCAAGATGCAGTCAGCATCATTCTCTTTAGACAAAGAAAAGAGAAATTTTTACGATAGGATATTCACTAGAAGGTTTTAATCAAGAATGTAAATACTTGTTTCTATGTGTTGTATGATATCTACTTCTTGTATGTACTTCTATGTGTAATGTGAATGGACAAGCTTGATAGAATATTGTGTATTTCTGATGGGAAGAACGAAGAAAGGTGGAGAGACAAAAATAAAGGGTTGTCAGGTACCTTCGCAACCAAAGTCAATGCTGAGGATACCGTTGTCTGTTAAATTTATTAAAGAGCTTATATATACGTACACGTCAAGGAAAACGCTTTGATGTATAGAACGGGAGTAGAACAGGATGGTTCTAAGATGCAACTCCAAGTTTCATGTTTACTGCCATCATATATGACGTATATGAAATGATTTGCAAGAATATTGAAGGTGTTTCTAATGGTGCCTAATGTGAGTCGCTTGACTGTTTTCTGCTAGATAGAAGGGCCCATGTACGCGGGTTTGCCTTTAACATAATTAGAAATATAAACCGCACGCAAAAGATCGCTTAGGAACCTTGTTTTTTGAGTACGCTGACCACACACAATGTGGAGATCTTTCAGACATTAATTTCAACTAATTTGCAAGCATGACTCTCATAAACAAGATGTTCTGAAATGACACTTTTAGCAGGAAACATCAAGGAAAAGCAAGTATTCAATCTACTCCGAGTAAAGGATGTAGAAATAGGTGTAGTGAAACCAATAAGTTACTGAAGAATTCAGCGTGGAATGATTTTTGCAATACTTGAAAATTTTTTCCGTGATTCACCAAAGTACATCACTCTTCAGTCCACCTATTCACACCCAGCAGACAGTTGACAATCAAGGATACGAACAACAATCCTTGACAAAGTATCCTTTGACATTTTTAGAAAGACTTCTATGAAATCGAACCTTCCTAGTGTACACTCTTTTTCTATAAGAACCAGTAAACTTAATTTCAGGCTGACTATTATTTTTTTCTCGTAAATTTGAGGCTGGATTGTTGTTAAGTTGTTCTTAAATCAGTAAGGTGTAAGCAGTGCGATTGCTAGTTTTTTTGCTTTGGGGAGGTTTTCAGGTCTAATCTGCCAACAAGGTGAGTAAGGCGACCTCCATTTGCCGACAAGTTTGGATATTCACCGAAAAAGTACCCACACATAGCTACAAATCCTCGATTTTGAGAAAAAACGTTGTTCAAAATTGCATTTTGTAGCAGCTCAGCCTCAGCTTGTTCTTAATTTTTTCTTAATTTTTGACCAATTTTGAGGCTCATGTTTTTATTTAATTGTTCTTATAAGAAAAGAGTGTACAAAAAGAACCAAGAAAGGCAATGCATTCGTTATCATAAATTATATTTCAATGGGGATTGGTTACGGGTAAAGGACAAAGAAAATACTTAACTCCCAAGCATCGATGCCATGTGGGAATTTTAATAATTAGGGAGCTGCCTTTTTTGTTCTGCAACAAAAACCCCAATCAAAGCACTTATGCTACTCATCACAAAAAAATTAATATCTCTTTATCGTGCTAAGGAACTTTGATAAATCTCATGGGCCACTATTATTAAATGTTTGTGGTGAAGCGATTATGTGGATGAATGAACAATGAAATCGAGATAAAAGAAGAAATATTTTGATATCAATTTTACCTAAAGCTTTGAATAAGTTCTAGTTTACTTTATTCACTCACCGAGAGCGCTTGCCGCCTACGGAAATATCACAAAATGTGTCACCCCGAGTAAAAACACGTTACAAATCACGCTATCTCGATTAATCAAATTAGAATATCGTCTACCTGTCTTTGCAACAGCATTATTTCAACTGAGATGACAAGAAAATATTGCGAGGAGAGAAGGCCCTTTAAAAAAATGTAGTCTGTATGCAGCTTCAGATTTTTAACCTGTCTGCCATCCCTTATTAAAACCAAGTCAGTATATGATTTTACGACCCACTCGATTTGTCGCATTCTCGCTGTCAGAAAATCACTACAATACAATAAGAGATAGCAAAAAATCGTAAGGAATTAAGTAATTCAATTCATACCTCTTGTGTTAATTCCAAAGAAAGATACAAAACGCTTCTTAAGACGCAAGGTCGCTTCTCCTGTTCCAGTTAGAGACACAGAATTTGATAATTTGTTACATCAGCTTCAATGGTAAAGCCTTATTAGTAAGTACTTGACCAGTCTTTGGTTTTCCCAGCAGTGTGTACACCGACTGTCCTCAATGCCTTGTGAAGAAGATTCACCGCGTTACAATTGATATTGCGAGCTACTGCAGTATTGCTTGACAGTGTGTCTTGCAGTGCACGAGCCAAGATATAAATACTTAGACAGAATTAAATTGCATTATGTATGGGTCGTAAAGCACTTCCATGATCGTACCTAAACAAACGACTAAGGTCTTTAGATTGCGGTGTTTAAAGGCCTCAACCCACAAACCAATAACGTCCCATTAACCTGATAACATATGATCTCAAGATTGTTTTTATATGCACGTTAGGCTATGCTGATGTTGAGAATTTGCCCTTAGAAGAATAACAACAATAAATGTTTAAGTAAAGCATATCACATTATGATATTGATTTAAGACGAGACCATGCGGTCGCAAAAATTAAATTTACTAGGAGCCGCAGAAAGCTAACAGGTTCATGGATGCATGCAAAAACAAGCCGGGATATCATCGACTTTTTTAAGGCGATTTCTTGTGCTCTATCGTCTCAGGACATTCGACCGCAAAAGATAGCAATAATTTCAATGCATTTACTTTTTAAGGATAAAGAGTTTCTAAATACCTTTCTTGACGTATCATCGACAATAACTATGTCTTCTCGGGAGCCTAAAATTGATGGCATGGTTCCAGGTGGGGAAAAACTTTTCAAGTTTTAGCTGGTGTTGACCGTTTCTTGCAACGACGAACAGGAGATTCCTTCCTTCAGTATGGAATAAAGTTGGAATTCTAAAACAAAGTTCAAGCTAGCGATATTCAATAAGGCTCGCACGTGCATATCATTTGGGTGTAAATTTCTCAAAAAAGCAAAATCTATGGAAGCCGAACAAATAAACTTGCCTTAATAGCTATTTTACATACCAGGGAAAAAATTACACAAGGGAAAACAATTGCACTCCTAACTCGTGTGCTTTCTTACGAGACACAATGTCGAATTGTCTGAATTTCCAGAAGGCTCAAAATATGGCAGGGCTAATAAATCTTTCGCTTTCCAGGCCCTAACGAACAGTTACAAGGGAAACATGTCTTCAAGCAATGGCGGCAATTATAATCCCTTACAGATGAAGAATATAGGTGGTTTTCTCAATGCGATGCTCTTTCACGGCAACTCACATTAAAACCTCTTTAAACTAAAGATAGCAAACCAATGACAGTTAATGTCTAAACTCAAATTACGAAGATCCGCTTTATCACTTGCGTTGTCATTTAAAGAAAGAAAAAGTATGAGAAAAAAGGTCAAAGATTGAATGAGTGAAGCAATTCATCCTTGTAATTTATGAATGATAGGCCTTCATAATTTCTTCTCTCAACGTGCAACCTCTTATTTCTTTGAATACTAAATTTGCATACCTTTTACTAGTAACTTCATTCTAGTACACAGCATTGATCAATCTGCCGTGCTTGTTTAACTTTCACTAGAATGAAAAATTTCAAACTACAACCCAATTGTAAATACATAGATGAAGCTATTTAAACACTGTCTACTCTTTTAGGTTGCAGATAGCATTTTTGTATCGGTTAGATCCTTAAAAAGCATTACGGCTACACAATCCAGCGTAATAACCTTCTTAAATAGTATCCTCTGAGATACAGGTATCGGCATACAATCAATGTGGGACATCTGAAATCCTTTTTTCGACAAGCCAACTGGCGAGGGGTGCTTGCCAATCAAGAAGCACTGACATAAAGACGACAAGAAGTCAGAACAAACTGCAGAGGTAGCTTGGACAAGGAAAAATTCATCCCAATTACATTTTGCTGTCGACCACTAGAATCAAATTTCAAAAAACTTCGCAGGAGATGAATAGAGGCAAAGACATCATTGCAAATGTTCCCACCGTGGGTGTTGGAGTCATTATGGCTCATAACGATGAAATAGCATCTCTGCTTAATAGAAAAAACAGTTAGCAAGTAATAAAGGATAATTAATGCAGATGATTTAAGAGTTGTTTTAATCCTTATCAATACAGTACAAAAGGTGCCTTTAACCATAATCAAAATGAAATCTCTGTAAATTCAAGAAAGAAGGCAACATTTCTTGACATCTCGGAAAGAAACTTTGTTAGATACATCAGTAGCAAAGGCAACAAGGAAAATGTAAAGGAGGAAGGGAACAACATTACTATTAAGTAGATTTGCAATGCAACACGACGCCTACTTCTTTAAAAATGTTCAAATATCTTTATCAGCTCAATTAATAAAAATAATTATAAAAAACCGCTTACCAAACAATAATAAAGGCTAGATATGAGTAAAACAAGTATAGTAGATCAGTCAAAACCAGAAAAACAGGAATTTCCAATTACTTAATTGAAAACTGTCATATTCAATGATTTTTTGAGCATCGATAAGGTTCAACTGAAGATAAAGAGTTATGACAGTTCTATGTTAATATTCTAAAAGAGAATACTTAACAAGATAATCATTTGAAGGTAATATGTGTATATGCAATCCTATGTGTTATCAACAATGGCGACGATTCGACGAAGATCTATTACAGCCTGCGAAGGCCTATAATCCTTTTTTTGTATAAAAATTTGTTGAGCAAAAACAGATATTTATGTTTCATTATAAAAGCTAAATTGACATAGGATGTCTTTACATCTAAGTTGGAGGTCCACTAATCAAAAGTGCTTAGAAATACGAATGCAGCAGTTATAGGTGCTCAATTTTCAGAATATGCTGAAAAACTTTGAGTTTGTCTTATTCTTCCAAAGAAAAAGGTAACAGCATCTTGCTTATTGCAGACAACAAAGTAAATTTAGGACTTGAATACACTCTAGATTCGCCAGACCTTTGAATTATATCAATGAGCGAATATCTATATAGTGGTAAACAACAATGCATAATACTGAAGCTGCAGTTTCTATCTTCAAAACCTCTGTTGGTATTAGGCAAAAATGGTATTTATTGAACCGATAATGTTATATTTATCACACGCCTAAGTCTGCATATGATATCTTAGATATGAAGATCGAGCACAAAGCATTTCATAATTGAAGAATAGTCCGATATAATTTCTTCTAAGAGAAAGGAGTACAAATTGAAAGTAGAGATTTCGTATGTAACTAATGAGGCAAAATAATGTCAAGTGTTGGACACTTGAAAACTTGATTTCCATTATTTTTTTGAAATAAATTTTGTATTGTCACTTTACGCTGCTTATACCCGTAACACAAAAAAGTATTGTCAAGACAATTTCATTCACTGTTAGATGATATCTTCTGACCTGATCCAGGAAAAATGAATTTAAGAGCAATGCCTTCCATTTCTTATGCGATACGTTATTGAGTACTTTTTTGTTTTATTTATATGCTTTTAAAGGTGTTACTTCCATACTCTTTTTAGCAATAATGTACCTTCTATTGATCTCAAAAAGGCACTTAATATCAGCCATTTGGTAGCAAAAACACAAAGACAGATAGCTAATCTCCGGTTTGCAAACGATACCACATTGATTGCATAAACTCACGATACGATAAGTTTCTAAATACACTTGGGTCGGAGAGATGGCCAAAACGAGGTAAAAGCTGGAACGAGTTTCACTCTTTACCGTCAAAAAAGTGAAGATCCTGGTGCTGTAAAAACAGAATCTTTTCCTGATGATTTACTCGAAGAAGTTCTATACTTGGTTCACCGACAACAACCATAGGTTAATGTTCGTCCAAAATCCAACGCAGCGCTGCAAGACTCAAACATCATTTCAAAGATTGAAGCTCCCTTCTTCGACCTCTTTAACAATATCCAGGCATGGACCATGATCGCAGAGATGGGCTGAAAGTCGACGTATAGGAAACATAGGTTTATGGACGAATATAATTTCTAAGAATAACTTGAACTGAGAAAAAGCGAAGATAGATACCATGGCAAGAAAGCTTTCTTCTTTAGACACACTGCCAAAAACACTTTATTTAAGAATGGTACCATACAAAGCGGGGAAGAGGAATGTAGGGAAGAAGAAGAAGCTTTGAAGCGAGGCAATGAAGGAGAAAAGCAGAGTAGCGTTTCCTGGAGCGCTCAAGACACAGAATGTCCACTTAACTAGAAGAAGAGAGGGGAACATCTAAAATGCAAATAGTGCATGAATAATAAAAATTGGAACATTTTCCTGAAATGGTATCTGCTGGTGATAATCAGTTACATGTCAGATCAAAAGATAGAATTTTGCTCTGTGAAAGGCTCCTTTAACAGTTGACAGTGATGCATTCCTGAAAATCGAAAGTTGTATATGAATGAAATGAAATTGCATGTTTTTATTGATTACAAATTGCTTGTTTGTGAGTACCAAAAAAACATATTTGCTTGAACACAATGTACAAGTTATAAGACTAGCTGTGTTGAAAGGGAAAGTCAAAATTTCGTCTATTTACACTGGGTATCACTAGATAGCTCTATATAGACATAAAGTGATCTGAGCTGCATACAATTCTATCAATTTATTTCTTATTTACTTTGAAAGATTTTACACCAGGAATATAGTAGAGTTTTGAGGAAATTGGGATACTGTAGACACATATCAACTATCTTATAAGAATGTTTGTAGCTCGGAAAGAGTTCATTTTATGTGCGTTGTAAGTTGCAAAACAGCTCATTTTGTTCGTTGAGCAAGATGAAAACCTCTCTAAAATGAGAGATTCACTATGCAAGACCGTGCAATTGTTGTTTATTAATCAAGATAGAATCTGTTTTATCGATTAAAAATTGTATCACTTCTTTTAGAACACAACTCAGCTAAAAAATGAAACATGCAAACTCATGCTGAAAATACGAAAAGGTCTGGCAACGAATCACGTGATAAAAATTAAGCATGCCAAATTATGCTAAAAATGCGTAACTCTAAGAAGACTGGAAACGAATCATATGTGTCGTAAAGACAAAACTTTTTGTTCTATAGAAATGTCTAAGCTGGAAAGCGCTACAAATACGCTCTTTTGAGGTTTTCTTATGAGGTTAAACTTGAAAATGATATTAATCGTTACTTTTTTTGGAGTAAATGTACTTCTCTGTCATATCTCCAACTGACAATTGAATATCTATGTCACTTCTGCACTCAAAGATAAAAATTAATTCTTATTGCTAAAAAACCAAATGGATTTCGAAGGCGCCATTTATGCAGTCTGCCTAGTCAATAACTTATTGAAGCCTGCTTACAGCATTAGCTGCAAACGAGCTCTATCCAGATTGTTTGTTTTGATATTACATCTACCATAAAAGGCCAAAACCTGTCGGCCTGTTATTCAAATGCCGTCGGAAAT